AAGGGTTTTGCGCTCCTGAAGAATCTACCAAGGTATGCAAGTTGCAGCGATCAATCTACGGATTGAAGCAAGCCTCACGGAGTTGGAACATCCGCTTTCACGAAACTGTCATCGGCTTTGGTTTTGAAAGAAATTCGGATGAATCTTGTGTATACAAGAAGGTCAGTGGGAGTGCTATAGTCTTCCTTGCTCTGTATGTTGATGACATACTGCTCATAGGAAACGAGATTCCTACTTTAACCACTATCAAAACGTGGTTGAGTAAGAGTTTCTCTATGAAGGACTTGGGAGATGCCAGTTATGCACTTGGCATAAGGATCTATAGGGATAGATCACGGAAGCTGTTAGGTCTTAGTCAAAGTACATACATAGACAAGGTCCTCGCTAGATTCAGCATGTCTGAATCGAAACGAGGAAGTTTGCCTATGGTCCAAGGCACGAGTCTTTCCAAGACTCAGGGTGCTTCCACTCTAGAGGAAGTAGAACACATGAGAAATGTTCCTTATGCGTCGGCCGTTGGATCCATCATGTATGCGATGGTATGTACGAGACCTGATATCGCCTTTGCTCTGAGTGTCACGAGTAGATACTAGTCCAACCCTGGCGAAAGCCATTGGACGGCTGTGAAGAACATCCTTAAGTACTTTCGTAGGACTAAGGATGCCTTCCTGGTATATGGCGGAAAAGAAGAGCTCAGTATTTTCGGATATACTAATGCCAGCTTCCAGACTGATAGAGATGACTTCAAGTCACAGGCAGGGTATGTGTTCTGTTTGAATGGCGGAGCTGTTACCTGGAAGAGTTACAAGCAAGATACTACCGCTGATTCCACTACAGAAGCAGAGTACATGGCTGCAGCCGATGCAGCCAAGGAAGGTGTGTGGCTCAAGAATTTTATTACTTGGCTTGGAGTGGTTCCTAGCATCAAGAACCCTACACCATTGTTTTGCAACAACAATGGGGCAATTGCAGAAGCGAAAGAACCTCGGTCTCACCAGAAGACCAAACACATCGTTAGACGTTATCACATCATACGAGAAATCGTTGCACGTGGGGACGTTGAGATTTGCAAGATAGGTACAGGCGACAATATCGCGGATTCGTTGACAAAGGCTTTGGGAAAGCCTAAACAAGAATGTCATACGTGGTCCATGGGCATTCGAGAAATGCTTGATTGGCCTTAGGGCAAGTGGGAGATTGTTGTATTTAGGTACCCTCGCGGCAATCAAATACCTATGTAACTGTACACTTTATCATGAATGAAAGGCTCTGAAGTATGTTTTATATCTCGTGTAACATAACATAGCTTCAATCCATAGACGATAGCGCTTCAGTAACATAGATGAGGACTACAATGTTCTGATTATGAGACTGTTACTTCTTGACAAAGGCTATGTCTAAAATATCCCTAGTCGCACTTTATGATAATACGGACGTCATAACGTATTAAGACTAGTAACGTACGAGATAAGATAGTTGCATCTCATAGACTATAAGTAATGTGATATCTTAATCTGTACGTAGGTGCATATTATATCGATAATATGTGACTAGATTGACCCATCTTGAGAATACTGCATGGATCTACAGTAATGTGTTTATCAGTATTCTCAATTCGACCTTGCTATAACTATCCTCAGACTTGAAGTTATTACATTCTCTGATATGTGGGGCCGTATGCTTTGATTCATAACTAATGCTATCTGAAATACTGGTAGACGTACAGTTATGTGTTGGGTATGCCGCTAAGCATAATTAGAGATGTGAATAACAGATATAGGATCTGTCCCTTCTACTGTATAGAAGTATAATGTTAATGGGCCCACTGAATAGTAGGACTTGGGAAAGTGCATGGCCATGCCCAGATATGTCGCTATCCAGAGACTGATAAATATCTGATCCCTACCAGTCTACTTGAGATTTAGTAACAGCTTATTTAACTATACAAGGATACACATCCCATGCCTTGTGTTAAATCATGACATTTAGGACGTCTTTTGTCGTAGAAGGTATTGATGAGATGAACGTCTTTTTCATAATCTGGGGATAATAATGTGTTGCTAGATACCGCTTATTATCTATGGTATTAATTTTATTAATATCATTGCCAGTGTTATGGATACCTAAAGGGTCACACACTTAGGACTTGTAAGGGAGTAGTATACTACACTAGTGGGAGTAATATTAAATATATAGTTGTGATAATTTTATACATATATATATATATATATATATATACATACATATATATATATATATGTATGTATGTATTTCGAAAATACTTATGTATTTTAAAATTATATTTTGTTTGTGTCATTTTAATTATATGATAATTATATTTTGACAAAACAAATTTTATATATATATATATATATATATATTATTTTTCATCATTTTAATTATATGATAATTATTGATGTCAAAATAAAATGTAATGTATTTTAAATGGGATGGCCGAAAATTTTTAAAGGAAATATCCAAGACCATTTGATTTTTTACATGAAGTATTTTTAATGTCAAATTGAGATATTTGATTATTATTTGATGTAGGGATTCTATTTTGTTTTGTTATGGTGGTTAGAGACATTGCATTTTGATTACTTCATTATCACAACTTAATGTCTCTAGGAAGCTTCATGGCATCTTACATTAATTAATGTATTATAATATGAAACAAAATCCCTCCCCACTTTAATACATTATTTTCGGCCATCAATTTCAAGAGAGAAGAATAATCTCATTTTGTGTTCAATGTTATTTTTTTAAATTGTTAGAAATATACACAAAATATTATAAAGAAATATTTATAAGATAAATATTTTTACTATATATTTATTACTCCCAAAGTAGTATTATTATAGTTTTTACTATCCTATATTAAACTTGCTAGCACAAGTTTAATGTTGGACTCCGGAGCAAGTTCGTGTGGATACGTTGGAGGCTTCATACGTTTGGCGCTACGTTCATCTCCTCAAAACCATCCCCGACTGTTTCTCTGTTCTCTGTTTTTCACCGCTAAGGTAAATTTCTTACTATAGCTAGTAATTTACGTAAGTTGTTCTTGGGTGGAATCGAGTTTTGGACTCTAAATTTTTGTTTTCCGCTGCGTTATCCAAGCCTCGTTTCCCAACACTCGGCCCACTTTCCCCCCACCCAACTCTCGGACACCGCGGCCCAACAACCCAACCCGGCACCAAACACTCACCCCATGCAAACCCGCTCCAAAGCCGGTGTCTTTTACCATAAACAAATCCTCAATCTTAACATCTCCGTCACCATTTCCCCGTTACTCCCAACCTACCGTAGTGCACTAAAAGATCCTTACTGGCATGCTACTATGTGTGATGAATATAATGCCTTGGTAAAGAATGACACATGGGAGTTAGTTCCCCCCCCCCTCCCAAAACCTTATCACCGGTAAATGGCTTTTTAGACACAAATTTGGCCCATCAGGTGAGTTATCCAGGTATAAGGCCCGCTGGGTGGTTCGCGGTTTCAACCAACGTTTTGGTGTTGACTATGACGAGACTTTCAGCCCCATTGTCAAGCCCGTCACTGTCCGTGTAGTCCTCAGTCTTGCTCTGTCTCGAGGATGGCCTATTCATCGGCTTGATGTCAAAAATGTGTTCCTTCATGGCCAGCTTCAGGAGACCGTTTATGCCAGTCAGCCTTCTGGGTTTCAGGATTCCACTCGCCCTCACTATGTTTGCAAACTCAAGAAGGCTCTCTACGGTCTCAAGCAAGCACCACGCTCATGGTTTCACAGGTTTGCTGGTTTCATACAGACTATTGGGTTCCGAGGATGTAAGGTCGATACATCCCTCTTTATTTTCTCTCAGCCCGTGGGCGCGACCTACTTATTACTATATGTTGATGACAAAGTACTCACGACATCCTCCCAGCACTACTACAGAGTCTCATTCAGCAGCTCAAGGCAGAATTCTCTATGACAGACCTGGGCGATCTGAACTTCTTCCTCGGGATCAACGTTCACCGCACAGCTTCCGACCTTTTCCTCCACCAGACTCAGTTCACGCACGACATCCTTGATAGGGCAAGGATGGTTTCTTGTCGCCCCATCTCTACCCCGGTGGATACAAAGGCAAAGTTGTGTGAAACTGGCAAGACACTCTCCGACCCCTCTCTTTATAGTTCCATAGTTAGCGCACTGTAGTATCTCACCTTCACTCGTCCTGACATCATATATATATATGTAGTCCAGCAGCTCTGCCTACATCTCCATGCCCCACGCGATGCTCATCTCATAGGCATGAAGCGTGTTCTTTGATATCTCAGTGGCACTGCCACCCTTGGTAATTATTTGACACGATTCACCACCGACTACTTACGGGCTTATTCTAATGCTGATTGGGCCGGCTGTCCTGACACAAGACGTTCCACATCGGGCTACTGTGTTTTCCTGTAGCAAATGCTGTCGTAGAGACCAGCTGGATCCGAAATCTTCTCCTTGAGCTCCAGCAACCACTTCCTCGTGCCACACTTGTTTTTTGTGATAATGTTAGTGCTGTTTACCTCTCTTCGAATCCTATGCAGCATCAGCGCACCAAGCACGTTGAAGTTGATATACACTTTGTGCGCGATAAAGTGGCGCTCGATCAGATCAAAGTCCTTCACGTTCCTTCATCTTCTCAGTTTGCTGATATCTTCACAAAAGGACTGCCCTCACTCTTATTTCTTGACTTCAGAGAAAGTCTGGGTATCCGAGCCCCAGCACATCCGACGTAGCCGGGAGCATGTTAAGTATATAAAATATATTTAATATTATTGTATTATTATTGTTACCATACTTGTATAGGTTTCCTAGAATATCTCTCCTACCATAACTAGGATTGAGAATTTTGTATATATACATGTACCCTTCACATAATTCAATTAATCAAAACAATCTTTCTTCACTTTCTTTTTTTGTTTCACAAGCCGCTCACTGAAACCATCCACCGACAAGGTAAAACGAAGCAGCGACGACCGGTGTCGCGAGCCAAGCAACAATGTAATAGATGTTTAAAGACCGTGGGTCTCAGCAATCGATTAAGAATAGACTTTTGCAAATGATCTCAATTTTTGCAGCAATTGACGGAATAGATATTTACCTCCGACTGTCGCCTTGCGGCGCTGCTGATACCTCTGACCGCCGCCTCAACCCGACCCCTTCTATCTCCAAAAATTTCAAACAAATTTGAAAAAAATGAAAGTTTCATAGATCTAAAAAAAGATAAGAAGATGGCAAGCAAAAATTTGAAATAGATCTAAAAAAGAGAGGAAGATGGCGAGCAAATATTTCAAAAAGATCTAAAAAAGGGAGGAATATGGCGAGTGGAGATGAAGAAAGAAGAAGAAGAAAAAGGAAGAAGAAGAAGAGGAGGAGAAGTTGGTTGATGAAACTGGGTGGAGAATGGGAACGAAGAAAAAGGGGTAGAAGAAGATGATGATACTGTGGATATAGATAAATGTGAGTGCTGATGGGTGACTATGGCCACTTGCAAGGAAGTGAAAATTGTTTTTAGGGGCAAGAAAGACATTTTACACAAAAACATGTCTAGAATAGAAATGGGAAGATGATTTGCGGAGAGACGAAAAAAGAAAGTGGGAAGATGATTTATGGACGGATGGAGTATATAAAGTTATCTTTTTATAGTCAAATTTATATTCAAATTGAGGGTCATGATGAGACGAATTCAATGGTGTATTCCGTGCGAAAAGATGACCAACAACATATTGCTTGCTAAGTTTGGAATTATGTATAAAACGTTATCAAGAAAATAGATATTACTGTTCAATAAATAAATATAAGAGTTTCAATAATAATAATAGTAGTAGTAGTAGTAGTAATAATAATAATAATATTAATATTAATAATAATAATAATAATAATAATAATAATAACAAGAATAATAATAATAATAATAATAATAATAATAATAAGAGGAATGCTAGGGGTACCCCATTTTGTACACCATGCATCCTAGCCCTTCATTTATTTTTTTATTTTTAATTTTTTTTTCCCTCTCTTGCTTTGTGTGGTGGAGATGGAGGGGGTACAAATGGAGTACCCCAAATGGTGTACCCCTAGCACTTTTGTAATAATAATACTTTACCACCCAAATTCCTAAATTTATGCGGAATAATGACCTTATAGAATGTCCAATGTAAGTCCCATTTCATCTCCTCTTTCCTAGTTGGCATGTAGAAGGGTCTAATGTTTGACCCCATAGCATTGGATGAAAACAAAAAATGAGACTCTCCCAACTCATTCCATC